TATAAACCTATAGGTTCTTTTTTCTATCTTGTCAACTGTTATATATATTTGAAATTTCTTATAATTAAAAGGTAGAAAAATAAAATCTTCAATAGCTTCCATTGATCTTAGTAGGGTAAGTGCTGTAACAAGAAATTCAAAAAGCACGTGGCCTTCCACAACAGAAGTGTATTTCTCAATCATGTAACAAGTCACACAGTTGTTACATTGTGCACAGTCTTCTATAAGGTGATTTTCTGATCCAGGCTTCTTCTACTTTGGGCTGCACCATCCCTTCAGATGTTGAGAGTTCCCTGCTGGGATTCCTGCATTTGCCAGTCAGCACGTGAGAGAAGAAAAAAAGTAGAAAACCATGTGTTGCAAGGGATTTTTATAGGCCAAATCTGGAAGTGATATAGATCACTTCTATCCACATTCCATAGGCCAGACTCAGTGGTTGCCTCTAACTGTAAGGAAGGCTGGGAAATGTGGCTACGTGCCCTGAGGAAAGAGAAATGGATTTAGTGAATAATTACTGGCCTCATCAATTCATGATTTGATTACAAAGTTTTGCGTAATTTAGCCCTTGAATGTGCACTTCAACCAACTTCTCTTCTTGAGTTATTCTTTTCCTTTGCTCTCTAGGCTCTAATTGCATTAGGCTCCTATCAATTTCCCAGTGTGCCATATGTCCCTTCCATTTTACAGCCTTTATTTTATATATGTCCCTCTCCTGAAATGCTTTACGTCCCTTCCCCATCTACTTCTTGCCTTCTCATCTTTCAGATATTAATAAAATCAGTCAGCTTATCTTGTTATATGTGCTCATATCCCTGTATCTTATATATCCCCTGTATCTTTTTTTTTCTTTTTTTTATTAGTTTCTGGTGTAAAACACAGTGCAATAGTTATAATTTTTACCCCTCAAAGTGACAGCCCCCTGCCCCAATCCGCTGCCCCACTCCAGCCCCCACCCCCCGATATCATACATACCTATTATGATTCAATTGACTCCACTCCCACACTATACTCCACATCCTGTGACTATATATATATATATATATATANTTCTTCTTTGACTCATGAATTGTTTCAAAGTATGTTTTAAAATGTATTTTAGTTTTTGTTATTGAATTCTGGCTACTGCACTGTAGTTGAAATATGGTCTGCATGATATTGATTCTTTGATAACCATAGAGACAGTGTTTGGCTTGGTATGTGGTCACTTTGTAAATGTTTCTTTTGTGCATGAAAACCAGGTGTATTATCTTAATTACTTAGAGTTCTGCCGTATTAATCAAATTTTCTGTTTCCAAATGAATTTTGTCTAATTTTAAAGATTTAAAAATTTACTGTTTTATTTCATGAATTGGTAACATATTTCTATGGCTTAACTATTTAAAAATATAAAATGTATATGGTGACAACTCTTCCTCCTACAATATTCTCATCTGCCTAATTTCTAGCCCTTCTGCCCCTTAAGAAACTGAGGCAGGACACGTAGCCTAGGAAATTGACAACCCCCTCCAGGTACAACGTGAGCACTTGCTTCACTGGTTACACATGTAACAAGTCACTGTATCCAATGCCCACAGCTGGAGAA